GATAGCCTCAGGCAGCAACCACACAAGGTAACTCATAAGAACATAAGAACGGCCGTACTGGGTCAGTCCAAAGGTCCATCTAGCCCAGTAGCCTATCTGCTGACAGTGGCCAGCACCAGGTGCCCCAGAGAGGGTGGACCGAAGACAATGATCAAGAGATTTGTCTCCTGCCATCCTTCTCCAGCCTCTGACAAACAGAGGCCAGGGACACCATTTCTATCCCCTGGCTAACAGCCTTTTATGGACCTAACCTCCATGAAATTATCTAGCTTCTCTTTAAACTCTGTTATAGTCCTAGACTTCACAGCCTCCTCTGGCAAGGAGTTCCACAGGTTGACTACGCGGAGTGTAGAAGAAGAACTTTCGCTTATTAGTTTTAAACCTGCTACCCATTAACTTCATTTGGTGTCCTCTAGTTCTTCTATTATGGGAACTAATAAATAACTTTTCTTTATTCACCCTCTCCACACCACTCATGATTTTATATACCTCTATCATATCCCCCCTTAGTCTCCTCTTTTCTATACTGAAAAGTCCCAGTCGCTTTAACCTCTCTTCATATGGGACCTGTTACAAACCCCTAATCATTTTAGTTGCCCTTTTCTGAACCCTTTCTAAGGCCAAAATATCTTTTTTGAAGTGAGGAGACCACATCTGTACACAATATTCAAGATGTGGGTATACCATAGTTTTATACAGGGGCAGTAAGATATTCTGTGTCTTATTTCTATCCCTTTCTTAATAATTCCTAACATCCTATTTGCCTTTTTGACCGCCACTGCACGCTGTGTGGAAGTTTTCAGAGAATTATCCACGATAACTCCAAGATCTCTTTCCTGATTTGTAGTAGGAAAATTAGCCCCCATCATACTGTATGTATAGTTGGGGTTATTTTTTTCCAACGTGCATAACTTTTCACTTATCCACATTAAATTTCATTTGTCATTTTGTTGCCCAATTACTCAGTTTGGTGAGATATTTTTGAAGTTCTTCAGTCTGTTTCTGTCTTGACTATCTTAAACAGTTTAGTATTATCTCCAAACTGTACCACCTCACTGCTTACTGCTTTCTCCAGATCATGTATGAATAAGTTGGACAGGATTGGTCCTAGGACTGACCCTTGGGGGACCCCACTAGTTACCCCTCTCCATTCTGAAAATTTACCATTTATTCCTACCCTTTGTTTCCTGCCTTTTAATCAGTTCTCAATCCATGAAAGGACCTTCCCTCTTATCCCATGACAATGTAATTTACACAAGAGCCTTTGGTGAGGGACCCTGTCAAAGGCTTTCTGAAAATCTAAGTATACTATATCTACTGGATCCCCCTGGACTGCATGTTTGTTAACCCCTTCAAAGAACTCTAACAGATTAGGAAGACATGATTTCCCTTTACAGAAACCATGTTGACTTTTGCCCAACAAATTATGTTCTTTTACGTGTCTGATAATTTTATTCTTTACTATTGTTTCAACTAATTTGTCCGGTACTAACGTTAGACTTACCGGTCTGTGATTGCCGGGATCACCTCTAAAGCCCTTTTTAAATATTGGCGTTATATTAGCTATCTTCCAGTCATTGGGTGCAGAAGCTGATTTAAAGGATAGGTTACAAACCATAGTTAAAAGTTCCGCAATTTCACATTTGAGTTCTTTCAGAATTCTTGGGTGAATGCCATCCGGTCCCGGTGACTTGTTACTGTTAAGTTTATCAATTAATTCCAAAACCTCCTCTAATAACACTTCAAACTGTGACAAGTCCTCAGATTTGTTACCTACAAAGGACGAGTCAGGTTTGGGAATCTCCCTAACATCCTCAGCCATAAAGACTGAAGCAAAGAATTCATTTAGTTTCTCCGCAATGACTTTCTTGTCTTTAAGTTCTCCTTTTGTATCTCGATCGTCCAGGGGTCCCACTGGTTGTTTAGCAGGCTTCCTGCTTCTGATGTACTTAAAAACAGTGTGGGTTATATGCACTAAAATACTTTAAGCTTGAATCTCTTACTCTCACAGCACAGGCTTGCACTGAGCTTAAGTCAATTCAGAAGTATACATCCAAATTTGAATTCATTTTAATGTCATCCATGTGGATGAAGCTTCTAAAAACAATCCATGAAATGAATCTTGTAACTGACGCATGCATTGCTACATTAGATGTTGAGAGGGATAACACTGAACAACTTCTTAAAGATACTGAAAAGATTCGTGATCAATGAGACACAATTCTTTCTGAGTCCAAATCAGTAGCACATTTCATCTTTTTTCTCCACCAATCACAGCCTAACATCTCAATCTGATGCAGAAAGGCACTATCCAGTCAATGGTTTTTTTGTTTTGTTTTGTTTTGTTATTACTGACTCCATCAAATCTGACACATCGATTTGAGTCACTGCAACAAATTTGTATCTTTTTTGGATTCCTTTGGAAGTTCAAAGAACTAAGTAATGAAAATCTATATTCGGTGACTGAACAGTTTTAACAAACATATAACAATGAAATTTCAAGACATCTATGCTGAGATCGTCTTCCTAAAACATGTACATTCCACCAACTATAAATCAGACTGCAAGCCAAAAGAACTGCTTCAAGAAATATTCGATCTCGGCCTGTCGACTGTATTAACTAATTTCACAGTTGCATCATATATTTTTGTTAGGCTCCCTGCATCAGTGGCTTCAGGTGAAAGCACATTCAATATATTAAAACAAGTAAATAACTATCATTGTCCTACAATGGGACAAGAGCGTTTGAATGGGCTTGCAATGCTTATCATTAACAATGAAGCTGCATGTAAATTAGATTTTTCTTCAACTATAAACAAGTTTGCACACAACAAAACCAGAAAAGCATTCCTAAAACGAAGAGTTTTGCTTGCAGTTGGAAACTCACAATTAAAGTTACATTTTAATGTACATGCTATTGGTACAATGTATAAATGTCTCAAGTGTTCATTTTCATATATTATTTTGCTTTTAGTATGAACCCGTGGATGAGAAGTTAGATATGTTGGGGAACTGGGGCTGGGCTGGGGCCTCTAAACTCAAAGTGGTCCAGGCCTCTGTCACTATCTGAAGACCTAGTTGCCCATCCCTGTCCTAAATGGTAAGAACTAGAACCACCAAATTTGGTGAATAGCTTCCTCTTAGTATAACAAGGTAAGGATTTGGTTGTGCCAGGACTATGGCAATTGTTTTATATAACATGGAAAGGGAGGGGTCTGTTAGTAGTGACAGCTATGCCATGTAATGAGCACCGCGGGGAAGCAACGGGCCAGATATGGGGATCAGGATAGCTATAACTCCGTTAGGGCAGCAGACGGCACGGGTGGAAGCAAGCTTCCTGCCCGTCACATAGGCAGCAAGGTGGCTAGCCCCGGGGAGCTGTCTCCTGCTCCCGCATATCTAGCCCTCTACCCTGAGCTCCCCACATCCCCAAGCCTTTGCCCTGACTCCTGCACCCCCACACCATCAGCCTCCTGCCGTGAAGAATCCAGCAAGCACTTACTGCATCAGTAAGATATAGTTGGTCATACTATCCTCTATCTCCGTGTGAAAAACACATAATGAAATGGAGCATTTTGTTTGAGCTATAGCCCTCATTCATTGTGCTTATTTCCATTCATCTCCTGTTCCTAGTACATGTGTTCACAGTAGGAAAGAAGAAAAAGTTCAGTTATGACAACAAAAGCAATCAAAATGCTATCAGACTGAAAGACTAGAGAAGGATGGTGTAGCAAAGGGAGAATGCCCTTTTAGTTCAGACACTGAGCTGGGATTCAGGAGATCCAAGTCTTTTCCTAGCTCTGCCAGTTTCCCCATGGGCAAGACACTTTACTTCTCTGTGTTTTAGTTGTTCATCTGTAAAATGATTATCTGTCAAAGATGTGGTGAGGATAAATTCATTACATCTGTGTGGTACTATATCATGATGCGGGGAGATAGACAAAATAGTAACAAAGCTTTTCCAACCCCTATCAATGAATAAGGTCAGGCAGCAATATAGCACTTCTAAGCCAAATCCTTACTCTTGCAGTATGTCCAGACCAGCAACACAATCCACAGAACTTCTCTCTCATAGAAGCCCCTGCTCATATATACATACACATGCCAACTCCAAAATAACACAATTATGAGACAAGCATCTATGTTGCTTAAGAATCTCTCGCCATCTCTCATACTCAAATCCCCACCTCCAATCACCAGCCATCAGGAAACATAGTGAAACTAAAACATATATCAAATCAAGTGCAGCAAATGCAATTCCAAAGGTCAGTGCTTTAGTGCTCCAATTCACACAATTTCTACCTGATTGAAACAGGAAAACCTGTGAGTTTTTCCATTTAGTTCTTCAAGTCTCCTCCAGTTAAATTTCCTTCAGAGTGTGATCATATGTGCTTTGCTACCCTTCTCTTCACATTGTATAATGTTGATGTTAACTAGAAAGCAGTCATTTTCCTGCCTTTTTCATTACAGAAACAAAATGAGGCATTTAGTGCTATGCTGAAAAAATATTTCAGTCTTTTCCCAAAAGAAGAGTGAAGCAGAATGTACAAAACATACTTGTGCATCCACAATGTTAACAGTGTGTGTTCAATTACTGTTAAGTGACCACACCATTCATTAACTTGTTTTGGTGGCTTGCATTAAAATGTCCTACCAAGGCTTTTACTAGCCCTCTCATCTGCTATTTTGAAAATGTTGGTGATTTTTTAATGCTCGCTGACAATCCCCCACTGGATAGCCAAGGAACAAGTATAGTACAAGAAGTGGCAATACAATCTTGTCCCACCAACATGCCTGAAGAGGTCACATATAGGGGAAATTGGGGAATTCAGGCTCCGTGTCTCACCCAGTCCCAGTCCTTCTTTTGCAACAGCAATCAAAGGGGTACCTTTTCCCCAAAAAATATGAACATTTTATGAGTTTCAGCCAACACTACATGGAACTAACAAGACAGACAACTGAAAAGAGATTTTTCAGAATTTCTTGTAAAAGCATCTTACCTGAAATATTCATCACCCAGATGCTTTAATCTATATTATTCCCAAATGTATATTTTACCACAATAAGGCGCAGGTACTTCTCACCAGTTTGGATTTCAATTATTTTCATTCAAGATCTAATAACCTGAAGACAAACAATAAAATTTTGGTTAACTAGTAACATCACTGAAAGAGTCACAATTCTGAAAAATCATCATAATGTTTTTTCAATGGAAAACTAAAATGTGAAGTAATGTGATGAAGTTTAACACCAACATAAACCATGAATGTCACAATGAAATATTTCCATTACATGTTCAGAAAATTCAAGTGTATAATGCAAAATAGTGGACCTTTCCAACCACAAGAAAATGCCACTATCCAAAATATTTTGTTGTTTTCCCTAAAAATGTCTTTCTTGAAGTTTAAGACAATTGCTTGATATGGATTCCCAAACAGAAAAGTTAAAGAAACTGTAAAGCTTTGACTTAGTTTTTCTTTTAAGGCACTTTGTTAAATTTTATTTACTCTGAACATTTCACCTCAGATATCCTTTTGGTAATGGGAGTAAAAAGAAGTCAGATTGCGCATATCATAGACTCATAGAATACTAGGACTAGAAGGGACCTCGAAAGGTCATCAAGTCCAGTCCTCTGCCTTCACAGCAGGACCCAATACTGTCTAAACCATCCCTGATAGACATTTATCTAACCTACTCTTAAATATCTCCAGAGATGGAGATTCCACAACCTCCCTAGGCAATTTATTCCAGTGTTTAACCACCCTGACTGTTAGGAACTTTTTCCTAATGTCCAACCTAAAACTCCCTTGATGCAGTTTAAGCCCATTGCTTCTTGTTCTACCCTCAAAGTCCAGAAAGAACAATTTTTCTCCCTCCTCCTTGTGACTCCCTTTTAGATATCTGAAAATTCCCTCAATCTTTTCTTTTCCAAACTAAACAATACCAATTCTTTCAGTCTTCCTTCATAGGTCATGTTCTGTAGACCTTTCATCATTCTTATTGCTCTTCTCTGGACCGTCTCCAATTTCTCCACATCTTTCTTGAAATGTGGTGCCCAGAACTGGACACAATATTCCAACTGAGGCCTAAGCAGCACAGAGTAGAGTGGAAGAATGACTTCTCGTGTCTTGCTCACAACACTCCTGTTAATGCATCCTAGAATCATGCTTGCTTTTTCTGCGACCTCGTCACATTGTTGATTCATATTTAGCTTGTGGTCCACTAAAACCCCTAGATCCGTTTCTGTCGTATTCCTTTCTAGACAGTCGATTCTCATTTTGTATGTGTGAAACTGATTGTTCCTTCCTAAGCGGAGCACTTTGCATTTGTCCTTATTAAACTTCATCCTGTTTACCTCAGACCATTTCTCCAATTTGTCCAGATCATTTTGAATTATGACCCTATCCTCCAAAGTAGTTGAAACCCCTCCCAGGTTGGTGGTATCTGTAAACGTAATAAGCGTACTCTCTATGCCAATATTTAAATTGTTGATGAAGATACTGAACAGATCTGGTCCCAAAACAGACTCTTGTGAAACCCCACTTATAATATCTTTCCAACAGGATTGTGAACCGTTAATAACTACTCTCTGAGAACGGTATATGATTGATCACCTAGAGGGCAAGGTTAAGGAGAATAATATAGCTACTCACTGTTCAGTTTTGGAAGCATTGTTTTATAAGCAGACATTAATCATTGCTCTTTTCAAGGCTAGATTAATTCACCTTCGGGTCAACTACGTACAAAAACTTTTAAATATACAAATATTTACAGAACTGGCCAAAATAAGCATAAAGGAATACAGACATGATGATATATGCACACATGCCTACACATATGTAGATAGGTGATGAAAATTCATCGGACCTTGAAGTCAATATAAAAGCTAGTCTGAGTATCCACATTCTATCTAATAGCAGCTTAATAAAAATTGCAAATTACAATTAAAGAAACATGGTAGCTATTTGCTAAACTAGCTGATGATATAATACAGTTAAATTGTCTCCGATTTTGCTCAACACTACAATACTAAAATACAGTATAACATCAAGATGTCTTCCCCATATCTTACGATAGGTTAAACCTTTCTAGTCCGTCACTCTGTGGTCTAGCAACATCCATGATCCAAAATGATTTTAGTTAACTGAATGTCCACTTATTATGGGTGTGGCCAAGTTTTCTGCAGTCTCATAAAGTTTGTTTACAGCCACCAGTCCTGGCTCTCAGTGTTCTATGCTGTTATTTAGCTCTAGTATACCCCAAATGCCCAGTAAGCAGTGGAAGTGTTGGTAATGTTGCTAGACAACACTGACCTCCCATGGTTTGGCAAATTCTTTGCTTCAGCACCAGTCAGGTCCCAAGGGTGCTGGACTAGAGATGTTAAACCTGTATATGTTTTACAAATGTGAGTCTATCTGTCCGTCCGTCCATGAGTCCGTTTGTTCAAGAACTCCTCCTAAACAGTAAGAGCTAGGATCACCAAATTTGATATGCACCTTCCGCTTATCATAACGAAAAGCAAGATAAAATGTGGTTATGCCAGGACAATGGGATTAGTTATCAGTTAACCAGCAGCCCAGCTGGGTTGAAGCACCCACTCCCCGCCCGATGCTACAGGCCTATGCTACTCGCCTGGAGTGTAAGGCTGCTCCAGAACGGCCAGGCATACCACACCACACACTGTGGGCAGACAGCTGTGCCATGCCCCCAATGTGCCCCCATTTAAGCAGTTAACCCCGGGGTCTCCAACTTTTTACACCCAAGATCACTTTTTAAATGTCAGAACAAGCCAAGATCTACCGCCCCATCCTTCCTCCAAAACCACACCCCTTCCTTGAAGCCCCGCCCTCTCATTCTCCTCCTCTCCATCACTTGCTATCCCCAGCCATTATACACTCTACACTGCTGCTTTTTTTCGATTCTTCTATAGGAAGAGGTTTTTCCAACATTTGGCCTGTCTAGACTGGACTAAATGTCAGAAAAACCCCTTCTTTCGGAAGCCCCCTTATTTCTCATGAAACGAGGAATACAGGGGTTACTGAAAGAGCATGTTTGCTCTTCCACTAAAAAAAGCCCTGGATGCAGAAGAGTTTTTCTGGGATATCTCTGGAATCCTGGAAAAACTCCAGCAGTCTAGCCATACCCTCAATGGGTTGAGACAGGATGTATGGGCTCTGGGGTGGGAATGAGGGATTTGGGTGTCCCAGCCCTTACTCACTCTCACTGGGCTGAGACAGGAGGTGCGGGCTCTGGGGTGGGAAGGAGGGATTTGGGTGTAGGAAGGGGTGAGACGTGCACGCTCTGGGAGGGAATTTAGGTGCAGGAGGAGGTGGAGAAGGGGATGCTAGAGAGTGTTGGGCTCAGGTGGAGGGATGGGGCACTGAGCAAGCCGCAGGCTTGTGGATGTGAGGGTGCAGGAATTTGGGTTGGGGTATGTGAGGGGCTCACGGCACGAGGGTCCAGTGTATGATAGGCTTAGGTCTGGGGGGGGGGGCAAGAGAGTTATGATGCTGCAGCCAGATGGGGGCTCGGCCCCAACTGGGGGTTAGTTGGCCAGGCTTCATTTTTAAATAAAATACGTCAAACAGAAAAAGTTTCTGCATTGTCTTTATTTATGAGAAGGGCAGGGAACCTGTTTTGAGTCAGCGGTCACTGACTCACAGAAAAGTCAGTTGGGGCCACACAAGTGAGATGCAAAAAAACTAACTCCTCCAAAAAACCCCCAACCTTCACTAATGTGGCCCCAACTGTGCTGGTGGAAACAGGGAACATGGTATTGGGAAAGGGTGCTAGTGGGTGCTGGGGCAGGGGAGAGGGTGCCAGTAAGGGACAGGGGAGAGGGGACAGGGTTCCGGGGGGCAGGGAGTTCTGCAGTAGGGGACAGGGTGCCAGTGGGGGCAGGGAGTCCCCTGCACCTGCCGCCTCCCGAGACTCCTTCTCCCCCCCTACAGAGAAGGGAAGCCCCGGCATGCACCTCCTCCAGGGACAACTCCCCCCTCCCACAGAACAGGGCAGCCCCAGGGTGCGCCTCCTCCAGGGACGATGACCCCCCTCCTGAAGAGCAGAGAAGCCCTAGCTCACATGCCTTCTCTGGGGACTCCCCCCACCCTTGCAAGCAAGTTCCTGGCATGCCACTGACCTGGAGGAGGGGGAGCAGCCAGCGCACTTCCGGAACCCCCAGAAGTGGTGCGCAGCTACAGGACTTCCATCCACCCCACAGGAAGCCGGCACTACCTCCACTGTCACTGGAGGTAGGTAGTGGGGGTTCTTGGGGGGGAGGAGGACATGGGGGGGGGGATTGACTGGGCGAGCCCTCGCAATCGACCAGTCAATCACAATCGACGGATTGGTAACCATGGAGTTAACCTATTTAAACAGGATTTTACATCCCTAAATGGGATGTGCCTTTAAATTCAATTGTTACTTATAAAAAGGAAGGGAAGGGACTAGAAGGGAGTTATACTGTAGAACCGTGGTCCCCAACACGGCGCCCGCGGGGGCATTTCTCGGCGCCCGCCAAGTGCTCAGGGCTGGCCTGGCCCCGGGCACGTGGCGCATGCGCGGTGCCGGAGCCGGCCCCGGGGGC